TATTTTGGCACTGGCAAAGGTCCCATTATGTTACATGGGATGTTAAGTAAACGCATTTTTGTATTTGTAGAGAACTATGGGAAGGAGGCGACTTGTCTACACAATTTTCACGTCTTTATATTCTCAACAACGAAAATTATTCAACAGCAATGGAGCCACAGGTGGCGCTTTCATGGTTCAGCCACACGGAGCGGAAGTCCTCGGCGTGGCTTGTAGAGGCGGTGCGGAGAGGAGCTCCCCTGGGAACGAAGCCCATCCTGGTGCGGCTCCTGGTGATGCTGCTGGTGGTGGTGATGCTGGTAGAGGTGGTGGTGATGCTGGTGATGCTGATGGTGGTAGTGGTGATGCTGGTAGAGGTGGTGGTAGAGGTGGTGGTAGAGGTGGTGATGCTGGTAGTGGTTGTGGTAGAGGTGGTGGTGATGCTGGTAGTGGTGGTGGTGCTGGTAGTGGTAGTGGTGATGCTGGTGGTGGTGATGCTGGTAGTGGTGATGCTGGTGGTGGTGGTGCTGGTGGTGATGCTGGTAGTGGTGATGCTGGTGGTGGTGCTGGTGGTGGTGATGCTGGTGCCGCTGTTATAAAGCAGCAGCAGCGGTGGAACACGCCTCTATGTCGGGTAAAGGGACTTTCTTTTGTCATTCTAGGAGTAACGGCTTGAAGTTAGAGATGGGGTGAATCCAAGCCCGGCTCCTGCCCCTCCAGAATTGCGGAAAGGGGGTGGGGGGGCGGCAGTTGAACTGTTGTGACGGGGGGCCACCACGGCAGTGATTCACCACGAGGTAGGAGAGTGAATGCGAGTGGGGGGCCACCACGACAGTGATTCACCACGAGGTAGGAGAGTGAATGCGAGTGGGGGGCCACCACGGCAGTGATTCACCACGAGGTAGGAGAGTGAATGTGAGTGGGGGGCCACCACGACAGTGATTCACCACGAGGTAGGAGAGTGAATGCGAGTGGGGGGCCACCATGGCAGTGATTCACCACGAGGTAGGAGAGTGAATGCGAGTGGGGGGCCACCACGGCAGTGATTCACCACGAGGTAGGAGAGTGAATGCGAGTGGGGGGCCACCACGGCAGTGATTCACCACGAGGTAGGAGAGTGAATGCGAGTGGGGGGCCACCACGGCAGTGATTCACCACGAGGTAGGAGAGTGAATGTGAGTGGGGGGCCACCACGACAGTGATTCACCACGAGGTAGGAGAGTGAATGTGAGTGGGGGGCCACCACGGCAGTGATTCACCACTAGGTAGGAGAGTGAATGCGAGTGGGGGGCCACCACGACAGTGATTCACCACGAGGTAGGAGAGTGAATGCGAGTGGGGGGCCACCACGGCAGTGATTCACCACGAGGTAGGAGAGTGAATGCGAGTGGGGGGCCACCACGGCAGTGATTCACCACTAGGGAGGAGAGTGAATGTGAGTGGGGGGCCACCACGGCAGTGATTCACCACGAGGTAGGAGAGTGAATGTGAGTGGGGGGCCACCACGGCTGTGATTCACCACTAGGTAGGAGAGTGAATGCGAGTGGGGGGCCACCACGACAGTGATTCACCACTAGGTAGGAGAGTGAATGCGAGTGGGGGGCCACCACGGCAGTGATTCACCACTAGGGAGGAGAGTGAATGTGAGTGGGGGGCCACCACGGCAGTGATTCACCACGAGGTAGGAGAGTGAATGTGAGTGGGGGGCCACCACGGCTGTGATTCACCACGAGGTAGGAGAGTGAATGTGAGTGGGGGCCACCACGACAGTCATTCACCACGAGGTAGGGGAGTGAATGCGAGTGGGGAGGCGGTACCGGCACTGGGTTGAATTGTTCCACATGGAGTCGTCTTCTTCCTTCGTACGGCATTTTCGGGGATTGCAACAGATTACAAATTGATGTCGAGATTTGGTATCCATTCGACTGCTTCAGGAGTAGCCGCGTGGATTTTTCAGATGATTGGTCTGAGATGTCGCAGCACCAGTCACAAGCTGGACATCTCGTTAATTTTACATTCATGGAGAAAGTGCCCCACATCTTCCATTGAGTGTCCGGATCCGATTCAAGGACGACCAGAGCTTCCTCGGTAGGTCAGTACCTGGTTGGAGGATTGTGGTTTCGCTGGATTTCTGCGGCAAGTTGGTGTTCGCCCAGGCTTCCCTCCATCGTGCTTTGGTGGTCTTGTCGTCCTCATGGAGATTCTTTCCATATTGCCAGAAAGGTTTTCTGGACTTGAGCTGGTGCGGCGGTGGTGACACGGAGATGTCCTTGTTTATTGGGAGGTTTGGATTTCCGATTGCCTTGCGGTGCTCCCCCACACACGCGGCATCGCTGCAGAGGAGCGATGTTGGCGAGGACCAGAAGCCATGGACCGGAAGCCAGCGATGTGCTATTTAACGTCCTCTAAGATGATCCTCGTTGCTGCATTTAGCTGCGTATCCACCAGCTTCGTGTGCACGCTTTTGTTCCAGGCCGGGGTGCAATATTCTGCCGCAGAGAAGACCACCTGCTCTGGTGGCCGTCCGGATCGTCGTTGCGTTTGCTCTCCACGTTCTTACGGCCAGTTAAATGCACGCGAGATTTTGCTTTTGCAGCAGTGTTCTGCAGGTGTCCTCGGAAGGTTGGGCTGCTGTCGAGAGTTACAGAGGTATTTGGGGAGGGTACTTCTCGCGCTGGACCTCTACGCCACAGAAAGTGACGGCCACTTTCTGGTCGGCGTTTGCATTGTTCAGATAGAATGTTACCGGCAGTTTTCCTTGGGTCTGGCCGGAGCCTTTAGTACACATTTCGAGTTTCTTGAGGTCTCCGCACACACACTTCATTTTGGACCTCAGTTTGGCTCCTTCTTTTGGATGGCAAGTGCCAGGTCATCGGCGTAGCCAAATTTCCGGCTGATGGTGACAGGGAGGTCACTTATATATGATCCTTATGGGGGTACCCCGGGGTACCAAATAATACAACATGGCCGAGGCAATTAAATAATTTATTTATGGGACACTATTTTTTCCAAGGGTGTACTAAACTCCACGACTGGGTTACCAATCAATCCGAATTCAGTGCTACTCCGCGATGTCGAAACGCAGCGAGGACGATTGCGTTGAAACCCTGAACGCTCGTACGCACCGTAATGGTGCATCGTGTACCGCTTGTCGAGATGAGTCGATTGCCGCATCGCCGACCATCAACAGACTAAAAAATATATATTACGGACATTATGCGAGAGCCGGGGAACTATGGTACCCCGGGGTACCGCCATAATGTTCATATGTTAAAAAGTGCCGGAGCAAGCACCAATCCTTGTGGGAGCCTGTTTTTAAGTAACCGGGCTCTGCTGGCAGTGTTTCCTAGGTGGACACGGTAGCGATGATAGGAGTCGGAGGGTCTGCTGGCATCTGATGACCTTTGACACTGCTTAGCTTCAGGCCCTCCCGCCATACGGTCATAGGCCGCAGATAGGTTGATGAAAGTGGTTGATGAAAGCGGCTCCTGGGATGTGCTTGCGCTGGTAGCCAGCTTCAATGTGCGTGGCGAGTGCCGGATGTGCTGCCGCTGGGGCAGAAACCAGCCTGTTCAGTTGGCAGAGCCTCCTCGAAGGTCAATGACGTTACGAGTCAGGAGCATCATCTCAAGGAGTTTGTATACCGACTAAGCAGGGCTATGGGGCAGAAGTTATTTGGGTTTTTTCGGTTGAGGCTGCCCAGTCGATGACCTGTTCTCCACGGGTTTCATCGGTTGCATAACCCCAGGCGCCGCGATAGCTGTTGAAGTCACAGGCGAAAACTGCGGGATGGGTGTTGGCTCCATGTGGTGCTTGGAGGTTTTGTAGACGCTTATCACAGATACATCCTCGATATTGATTACGATGCCTGTTGGTGAGTTGTTTTCTGGGTTCGTTGTGGTACGGTCCTTGAGGCGGAATTTCACGTGACGTTGCTAGTCCGTGCTTGGGATGGCGGTAGCTGGCAGCGAGCAGACATTCAGGGTGGATTTTCATTTTTGAAGCTCCTTTGTTGTCGGCCTGTATTGGGTTTCGTGGAGCCAGGAGCACGTCGATGATGTGGAGTTCGAGGAAACATCCCAGGAAGTCGTACTTGGGCCTTCATAGGCCCTCTACATTTAGATAGATGGCACAAGCGTAGTGAAGGCCCCACGCTGCGGTGAGTTGGAGTATGTACAAGAACGTTGCACGAACAAGTGGTGAACTGAGATTAAAATGTGTTGATTACCGAGGGTGCATGATATTGCTTCTCAGGTTGATCTGAATTCTCTACATTAGTGTTCGGGCCGGGCAGAATTTGGAACTACAGGGAAAGACCAAGGCCCACTTTGGAAACATTTAGGGAGTGCCGTGATGAGATGTTAACTACCTCGCCTGGTATGCAGGAGGTCGTGGGTTCAATCCCAACCCTGACGCCTGCTGTATATTTGGAGTTTTGCATGTTCTTTCTCCCTGTGGTCGTGTGGATTTTTCTCCGGGTCCTCTAGTTTTCCTCTCCACATTTAGAAGCATGCGTTGAGTATTTGGCTGCTATAAATTTCCACAACGTGATAAACCACTTCATTGAGCAATCATGTGGCCAGGTCGCTTCTGAAAAAGAGCTGTATCGCTCAGTGGGCCTTACCTGTTAAAATTAAAATCGTTAAATTTTATTTTAATCGACGGGTCTCTTTATGTGTCTCCATGGGTCTCTATGCATCGCTATGCTTTTAGATTATTTGGCTGCTGATATACATTTTCCCATGATAAGCCAATTCGTTGAGCTATTAATTGTGGTCTGGTTGGTTGCTTTTCAAAATGAATCATATAGCTCAGCGGGCCTTAAAAATGTAGTTTAATTTCTGTAAATGTAACTTTTTTTATCAATCCAACTCTGTCTGTCTGACCATCAACTCGCGATCAGGGAGAAATCAATTTTGCGGTTAAGTCGAGCCAACACGAGGTTTTCCCCACGTTCATGGAAACGACAAAACGTGAAACTTCACGGCAAACATCCCACAATGCATCGTCGAGAGCGCCGCGTACGTTAACGTTTTATTTAATGCTTTGAAAAACTCGGCGGGTAACAATCGTCGGTGTTGGTCACAGAAGCGGGTGCGCGCACGCGTAACTGTGAGAGCAATGCAACTCGAGGAGGGGGGGGGGTGAACGATGGCCGGACTATAATACAGATATACTCGTGCCATTTTAAAACCGAGACAACTAAAATACGAGGATAAAATCATACGCAATGCCGATTCTATTAAAATGCAGCACAGATTTCAACATGCTTCGATGTGTACAGTATTACATTTTGACATTCAACACGAATAAAATGCCTTGTTGTTGTGTACAGCCCTTCGTCAGTCCACTGCTGGATGAAGGGCCTCCCCGTGGCTTCACTGGGTGGACGCCCAGGGCCAGTCCAAACATCACCTCGCCGCCGCCGCCGCCGACACTGACCGTGAATCTAAAGCTCGGGTTTGCTAGGTTCGTACAAATCACTGCGCACAACCTCCGGAGCCTCCGCTTCACATGCACTCTGGCCATCAGTGGAGTCCAGTAATGGTCAAAGAATCCCTCGCGACTTACAGTGAAGGGCAGGGCCTTCATCCCGCAGTTGGACAGACCTTTTGTACAACTTGCTTTCAAAGACAACGGTGCATTGTTTAACCTTCCGGTGTGCTTTTCTCGCCAAGATGTTAACTCCCGAGTTACAAGGCAAGCTTGTTAATGTAAAGAAATAAAACCTCCCTTCAATCACGCGCCTCACGATTCACTCTGGACTGAGAGGGTGGCAGGGATATTGGGACTTTTGCAATTGGTCGTTCACGAGCCCAGACGAGCGAGTTCAACCTGAGGTGGTTCCAATTTCCCTATGTGGCCAACAGTGAATCACGTGGCAACCCGTTTAGAATGAGTGGGGTGTTACTCTTTGGTTCTTTCGGTAAAGTCACGTAGGTATAAAATAAAAGAAATTAAATCACGACGTTCGATTGCAATCGTTGCAATCAAAACGTCGCGATTGATTTTATACCTACGTGACTTTACCGAAAATTTCTAATTAGGATTGAGTGGGGTGCTATCAAAGTACAGTATTCCACTTAACACATGGACATTGTTGTTGTTCTCTTTACGTCCCCGTTTGTTTCGTTGTTACGTTTGATGACCAACAGGGTCAGGAGGCAGAGGGCTCCTCCTGACCCTCTCAACCCACCCCAGTCACCCCCCTCCGGCCCTCGCCACCGCAGCTTCACGTCACGCGACTTGCACCGCCGCCGTTCCTGGTTAGTAAATTGCGGTGCGCAGTGTTTTTTTTTCGTTAATCACACGTCTCGTTATTTATTATTCCCACACATTTATGAGGGAGAAATATCTTAGCCGAGTTGACAAGCGTTTATATTTGTGTGTTTTTGCGTCAGAAAACAATTTGTTAGGAACATGGGCATCTTAGGTTATGTAATGAGACTTTTCAGAACGCAAGGCCAACGTTCATATCGAGCTAAGCCCGTACCAATTTTGCAGGTGTCACGGTGGTGAGATGTTAACTACCTCTTGAACTACCTCGCCTATACAGGAGGTTGTGGGTTCGACCCTGATGCCTGCTGTATATTTGGAGTTCACATGTTTCTCCCCGTGGTCGTGTGGATTTTACTTCTGGGTCCTCCGGTTTTTCTCTCCACATTGAAAAACCTGCGTTTCGAGTATTCGGCTGCTATACATTGCCACGTGATGATGAGAAGCCACTTCGTTGAGCTATCATTTGTGAGAGCCAGGTCACTTCTGAAAAAGAGCTATGCAGCTCAGTGGGCCTTACCTGATAAAATAAACAACAAGTTTAATAGTTTTATATGGCGAATGCTTTGCGGCCTAAAGTGCTGGGCGACGCTTGCTCTGCCCACGGGACTAAATGTTGTTGCACGCTTGACAGTTGCTGCAGCATCGCTTGGAGCACCGTCACAACGTGGACACAGATCGAGTGAGTGTCAGCATGCGGCGTGTGGCGCACTGAACTCGAGTCAACAATCGAGTATCGAGCTCCCAATGGTCTCAAGTGGGACTAAGTAGGTTTTTTTTATTAGGTAAGGCCCCGCTGAGCTATGTAGTTCTTTTTTCAGAAGTGACCCCGGCGACGAATAACCCCTCAAAGTGGCTTATCATGTGGAAAATGTATATCAGCAGCCAACTACTCTAAACGCACGTTTCTAAATGTGGAAGGAAAAACCGGAGGACCCGGAGAAATATCCACGCGACCACGGGGAGTGCACGCAAACTCCAAATATCCAGCAGGCAACGCCAGGATCGGGATCGAACCCACGACCTCCTGCATACCAGGCGAGGCCGTTAACATCACCACCGTGGCGTCCATCGAGAACCGCGGGGAAACCACGGATAGATTGTCGAGACATACGGAAGCTTGGGCGCGAAGGGTTTTTATGAAGTTGGTTGACATGCGCCACAGCGGGGCAACATTTGCTGTTGTACTGCACTTGTACGTTCCGTCACCTTCACCAACCCGGACCGCCCAGCGTGATGAAGAGTCACTGGAATAACCCTCGTCACAACAAGCCCCACCCCCCCCTCATCCAGCAGTGGGTTTTACAGCAGGGGCTGTAAGTGCAACAAGCGGTATCTGTGTGAGCGTTGTGGATACCAACTGGTCTAACTGTTGAATGGTAACTTGTAGCAGATACAAGGTTACAAAACACAAGGTTACTCGTGCACATTTTTGAGGTCAAGTTTCACACGCATTTGAACGCCTGCTTTGCCGTAAATCTGACCCCCAAAAAGTAGACCGAAGCTCACCTTGGACATCGCAAGCACCGGGCGACCGAGCCCAGCTGCTGTGCGTGTGGCCACTGCGGTCGTCTTTACAGACGCAAGAGACTCGACTCGAACATCGCAACGCCCCCCGCCGGGAAAACCTCAACGGACTCGACGGCCGGCGTGCGCTGTGGGCAGTAGACGTCAAACGGTCAAGATCACCTCTCTGCACACCGGCGCGCGTCCGCACCCAGTCGATCCGGGTAAGATTACGCCGTTGCCTTTCTAACAGTTGCCGAGACGTTAACGGTGCAAGCGACAGGAGGAGGATTTCTCCACGACTCTGTGGCTGTCGCCTGATGAGGCTGGTTGTTGTTTCCTAGGCTTTCGCGACCAATATCCATAATACAGTTTTTTCGGTTTCATCGTGTAAATATTTACGCGATCTCGAACCCAGAAACAATTACAGTACCGTGACGTTTCACCAGTAATTACAACAACAAGCAGCCTCCATAACACGGGTTATTTGGGTTAGATCGCGTTAATATTTAACGCTGGTTGTTGTTGTAATTACCGGTGAAACGTCACAGCACTCGAATTGTAAATGTTGTGGGTTCATTCTCCAACACACCACCGGTGTGCTGACCTAGTAACGAATTGGCACGTTTTTGTTTCCGTGACAAACCCTCAAGAATTAGCTGTGTCGCATAGTGGTAGGCCTAACGACACATTTATGTTAACATGATCTGAACCAAAAAAAAACCTCGGTTATGGAAGCCTTCAAGTTTTCAGCGGTGGGCAGTTACTACCGGACAGTCACAGGTGACATTGTCAACTTTAAAATAACTCTGCTGCGAACCCAGCCACAAAGTCAAATCCAGGATTGTACGACACAATTCGGCAGCCGCCTCTCTCAAAAGTCATTAAAACCCTCGTTCGCACACTCGGCAGAGACATTTCTCCGTACAGCGATGGCACCCTATGTACACACACGCACGCATGCACGCCGAGAGAGCCAAACTCCATAACCACACGCGGAAGTAAAACGCGCCTCGATACAATAAGCGAGTTGGTCTTAAGCTTCGAGATGAATTCACGCAATTTTCAAATGTCTAGACCAGCTCGAGGGGCATCCCCAACTGCCCCCTTGCAGCATGGCGACACCAGGAGGGCCATTCGTGAGAGCGCCAACTCTCCCACCGCCATCGTCACCGTCGTCCTCCAACGTCAATCCACCGATTAGTGCCCTCGCTTACCCGGGAGAGACTCACCCGGTGAGTCTCAAGACTCTTCTTTTCAGGAGGGTCCTGACAAATTTTCAATAGGTCGTGGGTGACGTTGCTTTGTGGAGTCCCAACCAAGTAATTTGCCGGTAATTTCTCAGCATTGGGGATGCTTGGCCAATACCCGTTATACTGATCATGTGTTTTAGCTATGATGGTGGGGGGGGGGGGGTGAACAAGAAGACCAGGAGAAAACCCATGCAGAACAGGGGGAGAACCACAAACTCCACACAGGAATTCTCCCCAATGCGGGAATCGAACCCAGGCGCTTCGAACTGTGAGGAGGCTCAAGTGTCATCACTGCTGCTGCCACCACCCTGCCACCCACTGCTGGATGAAGGCCTCCAAAAGCCGGTGAGACACCTCTCGCGATACCAACTTTAAACGTAGACTAACTTGTGGACCGTTTGTATAAAGACCAATTAAAATAGCACTTTAAATATCAGTTGATGTGAGCGTAAGGATATATACTTCATTAGGTTTGAAGTTAGGATTTGAGGAAGAGCCCCACTGCGCGAGAGGCTGGGCGGAGATGATGCACAATGTCCACCTTCATTACCAGCTCGCCTTGGACACTCCACATTAAGAAACACACGAATTATTTAGATTAATTTTGCTGCTATAAATGTCCAAATGATGGGCCACATTGTTGAGCTATCATTTGTGGCCAGGTCGCTTCTAACAAACGAGTGAATACCTCGGTGGGCATTGCCTAGTAGGATGGGAATGGTTTAGTTTTATTTGTTTTTTTGGGCGATTTTGTTTACCTTTCTTGTACATTGCACTATGATCATGTTTTTGTTTTGTTGTTGTGACGTTCTTAGCCGCCCCTACTGGTCATCTGTGAAAAATAGCTTTATAGCTCATCGGATTCCTCCAGTATAAATACATTTTCTGATTACGAATGCCACAGGTCATACGGATGTTTTACAGTGCGCGAGCCTTGTTGTCAGCCAATTCTGCCCAAAATAATTTCTACCTCCGGCAACACCACATCTAGGTCAGGAGCACCTCTCTAACTTTGGCTCTGGCTACAAGCACCAGGTGCCAGTTTACCAGCGACCCCGGAATTAATACACAAAGTGGGACGTGTAAAGCCGTGATTACTCTGTTGTGTGTGCACAACAGAGCAACGAGGACAGGAAGTTGGCGCTCCACACAAAGTCACCCAGAGCAAGTCAACATTTAAGCGAAGGTCGACGCGTTGCTGCGGCCACTTTGATTGTCTCGGTTTCTTGAGCGATTGAGTCTCGGAACGAGATAAGGGGCGGCTGCCGCGTGGTCTTGACGCTGCCGTGGTTTCGGCGAGATACTTAAACCCGAACCCCCCCCCCGCCCCGTACGCATCGCCGGTTCGGTGACGCGTACAGCAGAACAGAGCGGCAAAAAGAGAAATTGCGGTAAAGTTTTAAAAAGCGGAGAGCCACTTTTAGATCGGCGGTGGCCAGTAAGAGGATCATGATCCACAGGCAGATCGTAGATTTTTAATAGAAAATACCTATGAATTCAAATGTTAAAATACGGTAAAAACGTCCACCAATGGATGGCGCTAGTACTTCACGTCTGAAGTCTACAGTGGCTATTGTTGGTCAAAGCTTTCTGGTGCATCACTGCGGGAGTCCCGTCGAGATTCATCGCAATGGATCGTCATGGCGCTTGGTGCAGCGACCCACTGCTATCGGAGATTCAGGCGATTCCACACGGCAGCCATCCCTATTGCTGGTGGTACAGTAGTCGGAAATATTTGTTTCAGGAAATAAAAAAAGTCCATTTGAAAAGTCTACAAAAACATTTGCTTGGCTCGCCAAAGCTGCCATTAACACGGGTAAACGCTGGTGGATATCCGTCCTCCGGTGTGAAGATCTTTCGAGATGGAAGGACGAGAAGTGGTCAACGGTTCACTTGCAGTTGCGACCGGTCCCGCTGACCTTCAAAACTCCACGTGCAACACTCCGCATACAGCATCCCTCATTTAGTACACAGCAGCCCATACAATAACTTAACAATGCCGACCCAACAAACGCCGCTCATCCTCGGACAAAATCCCCACTGGGTGCGCATGCCATTACGAAACATTTAAAGATCGTTCCTTTTCCGCGGGCAAACAACCGTCACAGGATTGCCAATTCATATTGTTCGACGACAAACGGTCGTAAAAACCGACACGAGGGACGACGGTCGTGCTTGTGCGTGGATCTCCCACCCCCCCCACCCCCCACCGTTCGCGCGTCGACGGCACCAATCGCGAGGAAGCCTCGTCGGGCAGTCTGTTCGAACGCGTTCATTAAAAAAACAAAACTCTCTCTTGCGCACGATGCATATTTTCGATCTCTCGCTGTCCTCATCCAACCCGCGGTTCGACAGAGCGGAGAGTCGGCTGGGCCGAGCAGGAGGAGGCGGCGGCAGGGAGCCCGGAGACGTCGGTCGACCCCTTCCCCTTTTCGGAGGCTTCGTTGCATTTCAATAAATAAACCTGGCACGGGCACAGTGCGAGCTCAACGCCTCGAAGGGGTCTTCTGGGATACGTGACGTTCTTCCGACTCTCAGGCAACATCCCACCCCCGTCCCCACCGGCCTTACCAAAAAACAAGCTTCAGAAGGCTTTTAAAAAGTACACGACAACACACGGCTTTGTGCAGGAAACGCTCCGTCCGCCAACGCGCGGATTTACGGGGACGCGCGTGCAGGGGTCACGCCACGGGTCGCGCCTCACTAGACGCGGTAAAATCGGGCCGTCTGCCCCAAGAATATTGCCAACGTCAAGAAAATGCAGAAAAACGCCAGGCCTCCCACGACTCGCCACAAACGTACGCGTGGAAGGGGCGTGCCGGCGTCTGCACGGCAAGACTGGATTTAAAAGGGTTGTTTCAAATAATCACAGTGACGTGATAGTCTCTTGTAAGCGCGTCGCCAATGCACAGTGCTCAGCAGTATTACTCGGACTGCCCGCCAGGAACAGGCGCTAAAAAAAGAAAATCCTCGCTTTAAACGTGCGATGTCGCCGCCGCCACCGATAAAAACCCCAAGGATACGACGGAGCTAGGCGGCAAGCGACAGCGTAAGCCCTTGTTCAAGTGCTCGAGTCGTGCACCGGTAAAATCCTGACGTCTGTGCCGCCCCGTGTTTCAAGTAAAGCCATGAAAAGCGTGCACTACCATACCACGCCGGTGCCCGCCAGGCACCGGGCACGACCGCCAACTCGTGGAGCGGCGCTCGATCAGCCTCAACCGAAAGGACTCGGGTGCTCCGGTTAGCCACGCAGAGGCGGTGGGTGAAAGAGGGAGAGTCCCGTGGCCTTGTTTAGAAAAAAAAAAGCCTTCACGACACCTAAACGCGGCCAGCTGATCCACGTGCGGCGTTCAGGGTCGGTCCGCGCCTATTCAACTTCTTCCCTCGAGCTTTTGCCACGCGCCGCCGATTGCGGGCTACGACGGGGCACCCACAAGGGCTCGAATTACGTGAAGGTGCCCACGGTTGAGTCGTGCGTGGCACAAAAACAAAAAAGTTGAGGGGTAAAAGCTCAACACGCAGCCCGACCCGGGGAAAAGCACGCTGTGGATTAGGAGCGGACCCGGACACCTCGCGCCTTTAATCGGCGGCCGGTCGGCGAGTTTACATTTGCGGCTCTGTGGAAAACGTCTCCGGAAAGACAAGTCAGCTGCTCCTATTGCAGTGTGCCAGGTGTATGCAAGCCTGCAGCAGGGCTTTTAACTGACCGTGTGTGCATGCGTAAAGGCTGCGGCGGATGAGCAGATCGCTTTTGCCAGAAGGCCCCGACTCAAAAAAGCAGGGCAAACAGGAGGCGGAGGGGCAGTGGTGTAAAGTGTCAGTGCAACGATTAGAACTGAAGTGTACGGTCATCACATTGATTGTACGTACGTATGTACACTGAACTTGAACTTCTTTCACACCGTACATAGCCAACCGTGCTAATCAGAGGTGGAGCCTTGGCACTGGGCACTACCCCCACCCCCCACTTGTGTGCGGGGCCGCGGAGTCTCTGCCGGTCCCCGCAGAGGCAACGTCCTCAAGAGGAACAGTGTCGTGGCGCGTGCAAAGAAACCAACACGGGGGGGGGGGGGGGAGGGGGGTGTTGGGTCAGCGCCGACTCTTAACGGCGGTTACATGCGAGATGACGATGCCGTTGTTGTTCCACGCGCAGGATACAAGAACCCACGTTTTTCGTTGCGAAACTTCCCAGCTGTCCCCAGTTTCCCGACGATGCTCACAGCCGCACGCTGCGCCCGTGAGATCCGTGGCGTTTGGGTAATGGTGCAAGGCGGCTATGTTTGGCCGCCTGTTTTTAAGCACGGCCACCCGGAAAGCACCAATCTGAACGTGCGACCTAAAAAAAAAACTTGCGCACTTTTTGCCCATGCTCTGGTAGGGTGTAAAAACGGGTGGCCCGTGAGCAAGATTTGTGCGTTCCTTAGGGGGCCTCGGCAAAGGTTGCTCAACGAAAGTTGACGTATGTGATTTACTGCCACCGATGTGAGCGCCTTCGCGCGCTTTAAGCAAGTACCAGAAGCTTTGCCAATAAACCTTGAGTGTTCACCACATGGGAAGGAATATAAAAAAAAATTTACAACGAGGAGACACCCCCACATTCGTAAAAAAAATTCCAAACAAGATCAAACCTTTGGCGGAGACTGTGCCACACTCCGAACTCTACTCCCCGAGTATTCCGAGTGGGAGCCACCCGCTTCTTTCGCTGCATCACAGCCAGATGACCGGCTAGCCCTCGGCATTATTCACCACCACCACCCCCTAGTGCGACATGCACGCCCACCCACAGTTATTAGACTGGCCATGGACCAGTTTGTACCGTAACGCTATAGGTCAGGGGGCTTAATCCATCAAAATTGTCCGGCGGGTCCGCACCCCCCACGAACCGAGCGTGTGCTGGGCAGGCCGCGGTCGTGCCACGGCGTCGCGTGCGAAAATGCCGCCAAGTTGCCGCCAAGTTGTGACGGTTACGGACGCGACCGCTGATCTCTTGCCTCTCCGTCTGGCAGCTCTCTCGCGCGTTTCACCTCGCCAGACCGCCATCTCGTCCCGCACCTCTCGTCCGTCTATGCCACTTTGATTTCACTCATCTTTCATCTTGTCTGCGGCTCTCTCTCTCCATCTCATGCTCATCTCTCTCGCCGCACCTTATCTCGTAGAAGCCGCTCCGAACGGCCTTCTTGTGCCAGATGTGGCCCGTGAGCTTCCAGGTAACGAGCCCTCCCCCCCAGGTGATGATCCCAGACATGAGGGATTTTGTAATCTCCTGTCCGATGACCAGCTCTTGGCTGATGCACTCGGCCCGTGGCGAGATGCGCCTCGGTGCTTTAGTTTAACCAGTGAGCGAGACGCCAGGCGAGTGAATCGACGAGTGAGCGCGAGATTGAGCGAGTTAGTGAACAAGTCAATTAGCGAGCGAGCGAGCAAGTCGATGAGTCGAGCGAGCGAACGGGAGAGCGCGAGTCGGCCCCGGTTCTCTCAGAATCGACGTCACCAAGCGTGGCGAGCGCACGACTTCTCAACTCCCGTCGTGGTGAACAGCGCTCGGGGTGCCATGCCACGGTCGACCGTCTCGTAACCTCGTGTGCGACATCAACGACCGATGCGCGAACGCCGACGGTGAAAGTCGCGCATCGGAATATAAAATACGAAACGCGCCGGTAAATACCAACCCGCGACTTTTAACCAGAGCTCTCCAAAGCGATTAAATTAATAGGTTTCTAAAAACAAGGTAATGCTTCGCATGTCAGCAGTCACGGGGGGAGGGGAGCTTCTGTAACGCTCAAAATATTTCGTTCTGTAAAACAAATTAAATACCCTTAGAAAAATACAGCTCTGCACAGCAACCTCTTTTCGTATCATTTTTGTGGAACATTCAAAAAACAACGGCCGAGGTCATTCTTCGCATCTTAAAAGCCGAAGTCGTTACCTCCCCGCCCCCGCGTGTCAGCGCCAGGGTACACGTCGTCGGCCTCACCCCGTTTGCAGCAAAGCGCCAACCGGGGCCACCGGGAGCTACGGAGCGGCGTACGTCGTCGCCGTCGGGGGCCACCGGACCCCTCCGTGGAAGCATCGAGAGATCGGAACCAGGATGAAGTCCTCCAGCCGCGGTTCGACGTAGAGCGCCCGGGCGCGGAACGTGGGCGGCCCAGTCCTCGCGGTGCGCGCCGCCGGGAGACGGGCGGCGCCACGAACGGACCCCGCGCTTCGCACTCGTCGGCGTTGACACCCGGTGGGGCGACTCGCACGCCGGCACTTCACACCGCCGGTCACTCTCACTCACACCGGCGGTAGTCAAAGCCACCGGCGGTAGTCAAAGCCACCGGCGGTGGTCGTCAACACCACCGGCGGCAGTCAACAGCACCGGCTCGCAGCAGCGGCTCTTCGCACAGAGGCGTGGGCAGCACAGCGGGGGCGGCGGGACGCAGGCTGCGCGCTGCGCTCCACCTGCCCACGCTGCCCAGGGGCCGTCTGTGTGGACAGCACGGGGATCCTGATGGCCGTGGGGCGTGTAAAGTGCTGGGGGGAGGGGCGTAGGAGGGGGAGGAGAGTTCCACGCTTCGCCGACTCCGCGCTTCGCTCGCGTCCCTCCGCGGCGGGGGGGCCCGCAGGCTCCCCCCCCGCCGCTCGCCGAGCGGGAGTCAAATGTTCGGCGTTCTTTCTTTTCGACGGGCCCTTTAAGACTTGTCCTTGAACTTCACCACCTTCGGCGTGGCTGTGGAAACACGGGAGGAGGGAGGAGAAGGAATACAAGGTGAGTATTATAGGTTGGTAATTTAACCGGAAGAAAGCCACAGCCTCCCCCGTAACATTATTGGCACGCAGCAGCCTCTCGCAGCCAACGTTTGGATTCACAATTGAGTTTTGGTTCCTAACCCAACCAAATCCATTTTTCAAATACGACAATGATGATGATGAGAATTGCCTTGAGGCTGGAAGGAGGAGGAGGTGAAACTGGAAAGATGTGGGTGACGACGACGACGATGAGACTTGCCGTGAGGCTGGGAGAAGGAGGAGGTGAAACGGGGAAGAGGTGGGTGACGAAGATGATGATGATGATCGTGGCGAGCAGGAGACTCGCCGTGGGGCTGCGAGGAGGAGGAGGTGGAGCTCTCGCTGGAGCTGCTCCTCGTCTCCGTGCTTGTGCTCCTCTTCTTCATCTTGCGCCGCTTTGCCAGCGGAGCATTGTCCACCTTCTGCAGGCAGAAGCCCTCGCGCTTGCACTGGTTGAAGGCCTGCGGGAGGTGTGGGGGGCGCAGTGAAGGGGTGGGGGGGAGAGCCATGCGGGATGGTGAGGGGGTGTCACCGGACCGGCCACTCGCGCTGCACGGCGCGAACGTGTTTAATATTTACACGGTTACCGAGCGTGGGGCCTAAAACCGTGAAGTGGCCGGAAAATAAATAACATCGCTGTCAAGAGTTGCGACAGATGAGAGTGGAACACGTTTCCAGAATGGAGCAAGGTTATTATTATTGTGAGGGCTTTAGAACAGGAGATGAAGGGCAGGGAAGTGGTGAGTGGGTAGGGGTGTGTGAGAGAGCGTAGCATGCTGCGCTACAAACCCGGCGACCCCTGATCACGGCCACCAACACTCGTGACGATTATCTGAACCGGTCCTGGGCCTCCCCGAGGTCTACTCAGCCTCAAATGAGCCGGACATGGTGTTGGCCACCCACCCCCTCGTGTGCCGTGCTTACCTTCACAGGTGCTCGCTAACAGGACTTGCTCCAACTGTCTGTTAAGGCTATCTGGGGGATCGTTGTCTTTGCAAATGATCTGGTAAGCCCGAATCCTCAACACCGGCTCGACCCTGGCCATGCGACCCCAGCGGCACGACCTTGGCGGCGTGACCCCGGCGGCGTGACCCCGGCGGTGACCTTAGCAGTGCGACCCTGGCAGCGCGACCCTGGCAGTGCGACCCGGCAGTGTGACTCCGACGGCATGACCCCTGACCCCGGCGGCACGGGCCTCACGTGGAACGTGGCTTTGAAGTAGGTGTTGACGGAGGAGCCGGAGGAGACGAGGACGTCGGGTGTGAGCAGCGGGTTGGAGGAGAGCTGGCTCCCATCCTGTAGCCACTCGTTGTAGCGCAGGCCGCTCATCTTCACGCGCTTGCTGGGGTCGACCGTGAGGAGCCCTGCTCGCCACAACCGCGGCACCACATACCGCACAGATTCGGTCACGAACACCGCTCACGTGACACATGCACCACGCACAACCACCACCCCTACCACAACCACCATGTCTACGACACAACCACCACATCTACCACACAACCACCATGTCTACCACACAACCACCACATCTACCACACAACCACTATGTCTGCAACACAACCAGCATCTCAAGCACAGACAACCACCACACACAATACGTATGTATGTTGAAACTTCTTTCGCATCGTACGTAGCCAACTGTGCTAATCAGAGGTGCGGGAAAATACACAAAGACTTTGCGCAAACACCACCGCCGAATCACCGTCACGGCCCTCACGGCGTGGGGAGGCCCTCATGCAGCTGCGCACGTGCAGTGGTTCTGTGTTACGGCTGGCAGGCTGTACGGTGTTTGGGAGCGAGGTGGATTGATTTACGAAAGCACGAGCAGAGCAGAACTCGAGTTGTTTTGTGTCAAGTCAGGAGCTGAGCCATCGCTTAAGGCAGCAGCAGCAGCAGAGAGACAGGCAGACGCTTCACTATCGGGAAGCATTCTGACCCGGAATGACAGCAGTAGTCGACTCACGAATAGCAGCAGTAGAAACAGGAGCTACAGCAGAAGCAGAAGCAAGAGCAGAAGAAACAGCAGCATCAGCAGTAGGTACAGCAGCAACTGCAGTACCAGGTGCAGCAACAGAAACAACAGTAGCAGCAGAAGAAACAGGGAACTACAGCAGAAGCAGCAGCAAGAGCAGAAGAAACAGCAGCAGTAGGTACAGCAGCAACAGGAACAGCATGAGCAGCAGCAACAGGAATAACAGCAGCAGCAGCAGACACACCAATAGCAGCAGCAGAAGCTACCGCAGAAGCAGCAGCAAGAACAGACGAAGCAGCAACAGTAGGTACAGCAGGAACAGCATGAGCAGCAGCAACAGGAATAACAGCAGCAGCAGACACACGAATAGCAGCAGCAAACACACGAATAGCAGCAGTAGAAACAGGAGCTACAGCAGAAGCAGCAGCAAGAGCAGAAGAAGCAGCTGCAGCAGGTACAGCAGTGACAGGAACAGCATGATCAGCAGCCACAGCAATAACAGCAGCAGCAGCCCTACCCTGTATGAGATCCTTGGCGGCCTGCGACACATTCTGCCAGGCTTCCCCCTCGAAGGAGAAGTCTCCCTCTTTGATCTTCCTCATGATGTCGGTGGCCGAGCTGCAGGTCATGGGCTGCCCGTGGCTCTGGAAGGGCACCTGCCCAGACAGCATGGTGTACTGTGCGCACAGACGCCGCCGCAGCAGCAGCAGCAGACAGGGGTGTGGGAGCGGACAGCAGAGATCAGCGACAACGCAAACACCGCCCACATCTCATCTTCATCGGCCACCACCTATACACTGCTGGATGAATATTTCCGCACGTGTAATTCGGCCCTGTGGAGTGAGCAAGGCTTGGTGGATCACAAAGACAAAGATCCCCCCGTAAAGCCTTCACAGACTGTTGAGGCAAGTGCTGTTAGCGAGCACCTATACAGGCCGGAACGACACACGGGTTGTCTCCCCAATGGCGATGCTTACACACTGAGTCGACCTAGGGGAAGCCCAGGACCGCTTTAGATAATCGTCAGAGTGCTAACCGTAACACGACCAAGCACACACTCGCTCATGAAACTCCATGGGTGTCATGGTCGCCACCTCTTGCAGCGTGAAGCTTATGGCCAGGGTGTGATGGCAGTACAGCAAGTGGGTTAATATCTCTTAAAGATAGACATTGTGAACAATGTCCATCTGTATTCCCGTCTGTACTGGGATTGGGTGTTACACCTCTCCCTTACTACGCGTGGGGGATTTTTCTCCGGGTACTTACGGTTTCCTCCCAACATGCGCAAAACACTCAAGAATGGAGCCGGTCAACGATTTAGTGTGATCCCCCTTGTGTGCTTGCCAGTGGGTTCCCGCGCCTCTAAACCTCCGTCTTTCTCCGAGAGCGTGAACGCAAACTGCGTGCCTGCATTGTACGTACTCAATGACGGATTATATTATTCGGAGGAAGTGATGAATTGTTCATGGTGATGATGAATTATTATAAAACGTGACGAGAGAAGTTTTGGTCGTCGGCGGGCCACCATCGGTGGCACGTCACTCGAATCCTCCTTCAAATCGACTCGAAGAAATCGTCGTCATCAGTCGTGAAAGAAGAGTGATGAGGAGGCGAACTAGGCGCTGGGCGAGTGAGCAAGAGACTCGAGTAAATCAGCAAGTGCTGCATCATCATCATAATCGATTGCCGACTACAGCAATGGCAGCAGTGGCAGCAGCGGTAACAGCCCCAGAAGCCGCAGCAGCAGCCGCAGCAGCAGCGAGCGCGGAAGAGCGAAGGGGGCGAGCGAGTGGGACACGCCGACTCACGAGTATGACGCCGAGGCTCCACACGTCGCACGACTCGTCGTATCCCGCTTGCTGCAGCAGCTCTGGTGCGGCGTACTGCAGCGTGAAGCACGGCGTCTTGAGCGGCGCGTTGTCCTGCGGCTTGAGCCGCGCGAACCCAAAGTCGATGACCTTGATGGCGGCGCCCTCCGTATCGTCCGCAAACAGCAGGTTCTGCGCCGGCGACAACGACGGGGAGGGGGGGGAGAGGGCGGATTCAAGAAATGACGACGGTAAAGACTCTCGTGCGTGACCTGCACCGTGGGGGGCCACAGCGCAAGGTGGGGAGGGGGGGGGAAGCCGGCGGCATCATTCCACATGGCCCACCATGGGCACAGAGGCCCTACCCATTCAAGACGGCCAGCAAAACAATATTCGGACGTATTGGCGATTAACACCGGTGTGCAGCAGAACACAAACGGGTCTCAAATCACAATTTTAACCGACACCATCCACCGCTTCAACAGCACGAGGAACTGATTTGATGCGCACACACCCCGCAAGATTTTGTGACCGGGTTTGCGAATCGCAGGAAAATAAATAATTATTACAAGCGCATTCACATTTTTTTAAAGCGACCTGGCCACAAATGATAGCTCAACAAAGTGGCTTACCAGTTTAGACCATTATAGCAGCAAAATTATCAAATAATCAATGCAGAGAAAGCGCCAATGGAAAATGTTCTCGATCATTATCACTAACTACGGCAGATCCACACGGCGGCGAGCGCGACCCTGACCTCGGGCTTGAGGTCGCGGTGCACGACCCCGGTGTCGTGCATGAAGGAGGTGGCGGACACGAGCTTGCGCATGATGCGGCTCGCTTCCGTCTCGCTGAAGTGCGACCGCTTCTTGATCCTCTCCAGCAGCTCCCCGCCTTTGAGCAGCTCCATCACCAGATACGTGTGCAGCTGCGGGGGCGGTGGGGGCGCGGGGAGGGGGAGGCGGAGGGAGAGGGCGCAGGTGAGCGGGGCGCGGGTGAGCGGAGCACGGCGGAACTCACGGCAGTGCAGGGAAGCCCCGGGCACCGAGGCGGAGGGGCACGAAGAACTAAATTTACGCTGAGCAACTGAGGGGGGGGGTGGGGGGGGGGGTGGGGGTGGGGGGGCGGCCTCTCTCGTCTCCACTGACAGCCCCCCGGGAAGCTGTGGCCAGAGATTCCTCGTTTCCATAAAGGGGACGGGGACCCCGCACACTGAAAGGGGGCCACGGTGGTGAGATGTTAACTAGCCTGTCTGGTAGACAGGAGGTCGTGGGTTCTATCCAGACCCTATGTTTCGAGTTTGCATGTTCTCCCTCTGCTCGCGTGGATTTTTCACTGGGTCCTCCGGTTTTTCCCTCCACATTTAGAAACGTGCATTGAGAGTATTTGGCTGCTATAAATGTCCACGTGATAAGCCACTTCAATGAGCTAGCGTTAGTGGCCAGTTCACTTCTGAAAAAGAGCTATATAGCCGAGTGGGGCTTATCGGTTAATATAAAATTATGGTTTCGGGTTCGTACAAATATTATCGTCTCTTCCCCCAAGTTTGCCCCGATTGCGCGACAGGAGCCACATCACGAGACGGGATAATCCATTCGCAGCTCTCGCAGAGCAGCACGACCCGCAGAGAATGGTCCGAGCTACCTCTGAGATCCCTTGGCTTTGTACGGTGCGAAATCATTTTAACATACATACGTAGACTCACACAGAGACCCGTAGACTCACACAGAGACCCATTGACTCACACAGAGACCCATAGACTCACACAGAGACCCATAGACTCACACAGAGACCCATAGACTCACACAGAGACCCGTAGACCCACACAGAGACCCATAGACTCACACAGAGACCCATAGACTCACACAGAGACCCATAGACTCACACAGAGACCCATAGACTCACACAGAGACCCATAGACCCACACAGAGACCCATAGACTCACACAGAGACCCATAGACTCACACAGAGACCCATAGACTCACACAGAGACCCATAGAATCACACAGAGACCCATAGAATCACACAGAGACCCATAGAATCACACAGAGACCCAGACTCACACAGAGACCCATAGACTCACACAGAGACCCATAGACTCACACAGAGACCCACAGAGACCCATAGACTCACACAGAGACCCATTGACTCACACAGAGACCCATAGACTCACACAGAGACCCATAGACTCACACAGAGACCCATAGTTTGTTGTCCTTCCCCCGCACCTCCGATTTGCACAGTTGGCTACGTACGGTGCGAAAGAATTTCAACATACATACAAGTGACCTCTGATATAGAGTAAGGAGGCAGCACTTCCCCACCCACGCTGTTACACAGAGTGACATACTCTTAGTTTTTTCGGTAAAGTCATGTAAAAAACTAAGAGTATGGATCCTTGCAGTCATGAAAGCTTCAAATCTAGAACACAGAGTGACGTTCGTCACATGATCCTTATGGCGGTACCTCGGGGTACCAAATAATACAAAATGGCCGAGGCAAGTAAATATTCTATTTCTGGGACACTATTTTTTCCAGGGGTGTACTTAACTCCACGACTGGGGTACCAATCAATCCGAAATCATGTGCCACTCCGCGATGTCGAAACGCAGCGAGGACGATTGCGCCGAAACCCTGAACGCTCGTACGCACTGCACTATAGTGGTGCATCGTGTACAGCTCGTCGAGATGAGTCCGATTGCCGCATCGCCGCCCATCAACAGACTAAAAGTCACTACATCACGGACATCATGCGAGAGCCGGGGTACTACGGTGCCCCGGGGTACCGCCATAAGGTTCACATGACCTGACAATCAATTCTCCGAGTCATTGTTTTGACACAACGCCCGACGTTTCGCTGCGCGTCCTGGGGAAGCCTCTCCAGAAATCTCACGGCTTCACGGTGGAGACTGCTGGCCAGCACGTGGAGCAAAACGTCCGGCAGCATGCCCACCACAAACACAGCGGAGAGGTGAAAGGGATCGCACCGCCCACGATCCAGCACTGTGGAGGCGGCTGCAAGGGTTGGTGGATCGCACACAGATGTTATGAGACTCCTCCCATGTGGGTGTCGGGGAGGAGTCATACACCCCGGCTCAGCCAGGAAAAGGCGGTACAGCAAAATAAAGTGGACTCATATCACCTGTCGTTACTGTACAGGATAGAGCGTTGCCCCCTTCGCTGACATGTGTGGGTTTCTTGCCAGGTGCTCTGGCTTCTCACCACATTGTACACTCATCATTCGGCTGAAAACATCGTGACCTGTGAACAAGCCTCTGCGTGTCGTGGGTTGCGCGGCGACTGCGAGATGCAGTCGCGTAATTTTGTCGCCGCTTGTGTGGAATCTCCCAACGTATATACCGATAAAATGTAATAATCCGCGATGCCGAGCGAGCGCGCGTCCGTACCGTGTCGTGGTACACGTCGATGATGTTGACGATGTTGGGGTGCGCGTGGCACAGCTTGAGGGCAGCGATCTCCCTCTGCGTGTTGGCCTCCATGCTGCCGGCAACAACACGCGTCCGCTCAGCACCGAACACACACGCCGCAACCCCGCAACCATTCACGGGGGTTTCACCAACTAGCGCCACCCGGCAAAAATATAAATATGTAGCCGCAATGGACGACACGCCGTTAAAACGAGAAACGGGCGCGCGTAGATCAGCGCCTAGCGTAGGCCTAGTTACCGTTTGCTCACGATCTTGACGGCGTGCTCCTGGCCCGTCTTCTTGTGCTTGCAGCGCCGGCAGATGGAGAAGCTGCCCTCCCCGAGGGGCGGCTCCTTCATGTCCATCTCGTAGTGCTGGAAGAACGGCGAATCCTGCAACGCACCCGCAGCAACGATGACACGTGGACTAATACAGCCCGGTCCACACGCGCGGCGACCCGCACGGCGACCCATGTGCACGGCGACACGCACGCAGGGTGACACAAACGGCAACACACACGCACGGCGACCCACACGCACGGCGACACGCACGCAGGGTGACACAAATAGCAACACACGCACGGCGACCCGAACGGCAACCCATGTGCATGGCGACCCACACGCACGGCGACCCTCACGGTGCGATAGTGTTGTTACTGTGGTGACGCTAAGCTGGACACAAATAACAACAACGCGTCACCTCACCCACCTTCATCATGGCGCTGCGAGCCACCGCGGTGGTGGCCGGCCTCTCGGAGCCCGACTGCAGCTCCAGGGGATCGGTGGTGACGGCGTTCCGCTTGAACAGGATCGACGGAGCCACGAACGAGTAGCCCTGACATGACATACACAGGCCCCGTTGGGGCAAGTGCTGTTAGTCAGCGCCCGTGATAGGCCGGCACGGCGGCGCACCGAGTGGGTCATGTAGCCAGCACCTACTGCTGCTACTGCTGCTGCTACTGCGCTCGTTTACTGAGGAAAGCCTCACCGAGTCTGAAGACTCTTTTTCGGGAGGGTCCTCCCTAAGCTTTCACAGCAGGGGGAGATGACTTAAGTAAATCACAACGGAGTAATGTGCGGGGCGGGCATGTTTCAAACTTGGGTAAACCCTGGGCCGTTTCAAATGACGTCGCGGGATTCTTGAGCGTCCACTGCGGAGCGGACAGCGCGCAGTACCAAGATGGCTAATACACCCGCGGCAGGAATAACCAGGGTGGCCGGCGCGATTCGCACCGCGAACCTCCACAACGAGCGGGTGAACACGCAACCGCGGATGAAAAAAAGTAAGAATAGGCTTTACCCCCCTTCTGGAGATAAAAGAAGTCTTAAGGTGTTCAAACACTTGCGGCAAAACACGCAAAACAAACACGCTCTGATAATATATTCATCGTCTTTGAAACCGATCGGCCTACACCAGAGACGGCCTTCTTTGACGGCCTCGTCTCACAAGTGTCGGACCAGAACGACGCCAAAAGGCGAACAGCACAAAGGCAAGGCAAGCGTCAAAGCATCGATAGTAACTCGGGTTGGATAGCACCAGCAGTCCCGCGCCACCATGCACTGGCACGAACCTTGAAGATCCGGTCCGAGTTGTGGGGCAGCGCCGCGGGGGAGTACGTGGGGTCCATGTCCGTGAACTCCTCCGCAAAGTTGCTGACGTCGAGCTCGTCGCGGATCACCGGCTTGAACGGAGCCTCCACCTTCTTAGCCGCAAGATCGTCCCAGCTGAGAGACTGGGGAGCGCACACACACACAGGGGAGACGTGGGACTGCGACTCGGCGGGAACGGAGACTCTGCGGGACCACGACTCAGCAGGGACGGCGATTCAGCGGGGACGGCAACTCAACGGCGACTCGGATGGGGCCGGGACTCAACGGGGATAGAGACCCAGAGGGACTGCGACTCATCTGAGACCAGGACTCAGCGGGGACGGTGACTCAACTGGGATTGCAACTCAGTGAGACTGCGACTGAACCACACACTGCACCACACTGAATCCTTTCACAGCCACGCTAGTTTTACCTGAAGCCAGCAACTTTTTAAATTAGTTCTGTGAACCTGCTCACGTTTTATGTGTTGGTAAGAATGCGGCCAGTGCCCTAGTCCCTTGTGTGCAATAACTTTATTTCCAGATGTTGCCACTGGGTGGCCGTAAACAAAACCTGCGCTCGGTCACGTGACACGATCTCGGCATCGGCCACAGGAGGAGGTTGTCGTCGCGAAGTCACAGGAACGGGCGGCGCCGGCTCCGAGAGGGTTCACCGTTGCAGACCCACACATGGGTGGCGGCCAGGTGACTCGGAGGTCGGAAACGCCGATCCGGCGAATCTCTCGACCGTAAAAAAGCCATTGCCCCGACGAGTCGCCTGCTATACATACCTATCAACCCCTTACCAGTGCCTACCTTATTACAGACCAATTCAGACCTTACTGGTCACCCCGTGCCCTTATAAATCACAATGTTCATCCCACAAAGTCCCATCACAAGGGAGAAAGATAAACACAGACAAAAAACATGCGGCCCGTATTGAAATGGCTGTACGTAGTATGGACCTGAAAACTCACTTTCCCTGTACAGTAGAACCTCGGAGATCGAACGCACCAGAACTCGAACAAATCAGTGTTCGAACGATATTTCCGAACATTTTTTGCCCCGAAAACCGAACGAAATTTGGAGGTCGAACTGGCATCGCGACTTGAAATAACCTGTACGGCTGAGACGCGTATGTCCAGCGTGCATGACGCTTTCCCAGACAAATATTTTACCGTATGAGAGGCAGAAACAAACCTCTTTAGATACGTTTTTAGTCAAGTGACTCACAGTTAGTGGCAGAAAAGAGGCACAAAAGAGAAAGAACCCCAGAAGGGCAGTTACCCGATGTAATTATGGAAGGGGACTCCCCTTGCAAACAATAACACCTCCTCCTCCTCACCACCTTCCACTCAAGCCATCAGCTCTCCTTACTACAGGTAAAGTGAAGTTCAATGTTCGTTTATTTCATTTATTCCATTTATTTATTGTGTTTCTTGTGTTATTGTATGATTGTATGCATGTAATTACTGTAAACTTCGTGTAAAAATGCTTTATAATGAGAGATTTCTTGTGTCTGGAACCAATTAATGTCATTTACATTAATTATTATGGGTAAAATTAATTCGGTGTTCGAACAAATCGGTGTTCGAATGTCCTTCTGGAACGAATTAAGTTCGATCTCCGGGGTACCACTGTATAAGAATACAGGTAAACCTTATGGGCTGACAGGTATGGCTATAACAATTACAAAGACAAAGATCCCCCCCTGTATAGCTTTCTCAGACTGTTGGGGCAAGTGCTGTTAGCGAGCCGCACCTATGAAGGCCGGCATGGGTGGCCAACACCACGCCCAGCCACCTTTGTCTCCCCAGTGGCGATGTTTACAGACCACACCAGGTACTCATTTGGGGCTGAGTTGACCTAGGGGAGGCCCAGGACCGGTTCATATAATCGTCACTGATGTTGGCCGTGAACGGGAAATCGAGCCCGGGTCGCCGGGTTCGGAGGAGCGGTGCGCTAACCACAACGACACGACGGCTCCCCACACACACACACCACACATCTCTTGGGGGCCGCAGTGTCATCGAGGTACGTGGCGGAGTTCTTTCAAGGCTCCTCTGTGCGAGCCTGACCACTGCATTAGTGACACGGATGCTGCAAACGAACCTTGAAGAAGGCGTGGTTCTTGATCTCGTCCGCCCCGGCGGGGCCGGAGCCCAGACGCCTCTTGGGGTCCTTGACCAGGAGCTTCTGGATGAGGTCACGCACCGGGTTGCGAATGTCACCCGGGAAGGGCGGGTCGCTCCGGAGAATCCTCCTGCGCAAACGCGGTCACGAGGAGGGGGAGCGGGAGAGAAGGAGGGAGCGGAGGAGGGAGGGAGCGGGGGAGCGAGGGGGAGCACGGGAGAGGAAGTCAGCAGGACGAGCAGAACTCCGTCGGGTGCTGTGGCTCTAGGTCCGTGTGGAGCAGCAGGGGGGTGGACGCTCGCACTACAAGGTGAAGTCGGCCACACGTTTCCTACCGTCACTTTGCTTGTGCCAGGACCTCTCTCTCTGCCTCACTCTACTCTCCTCCACTCACTCTCCGCTCCAGCAGCCTTTGCTCAATGGGAGGTCATGCATTCTCCTCTGCTGCGCCCAAATTTGGAACTCCCCTCAGCCCAGCCGTCCGTGCTGTTGACTCCCTGACCCCTGTTCAAATCCAGGCTCAACTCTTTGTTTCCCCCGCCTCTGATCGCCTCTCCACGAAGTGAACACGCGCTTCTGTAGACAGTCTTGAAGCGCGGTCAAATCCACAGTCGTCTGTTGTATTGTTGAGCCAGGTGCACACCTGAACGATCGGTTGCATGCAACTTGGTTGCAATGCAACAGAGTGGCTTGCATGCGGACGTCCCAGCAACCGGCCGCTCAACCGGTTACGATTTCCGCTCGGAGCGATTCGCGGCGACGCGTTTCGTCACGCGCAGCATTTGTTGTTTGCGAGCCCGCTACGCAGTCGTCACGATCCTGACGCGGGTGGGAAGGGGGTGGAGGCAATAGGGCGAGGGGCGGGGCTCTGCGGTAAGGGGGCAGGGCCAGACGATGTCACCGCACGCACGCTGGCGACGCGAAAGCCGTTGCAGGCCCCGATGTACGTCGCGCCACTTCCGGGGAGCGATTGGTGTGGAGCCGCCCGGCACGAGAGGCACTCACTTGGAGATCTCCGACTGGTTGTTCTTTTCTCCCTCGACCGTGAATGGGGAGGCGCCCGTCAGAAACTCGTACATGAGCACACCCAGGCTCCACCAGTCCACAGCCTGGCACAATCGCACACAGCACCATTCCCAAAGGGCATTGTGTCTACAGCCTGGCACAATCATACAGGACACAGCAACATTCCCATAGGGCAGTGCGTCTACATTCTAGATTTGAAGTTTTCATGACTGCAGGGATCCATACTCTTTGGTTCTTTCGGTAAAGTCACGTGGGTATAAAATATAAAATAAATTAAATCACGACGTTTCGATTGCAACACAAGCAATCATCATTAGGTGTGAAAACTACAGCAAGAAATGTTTTAGCTGTAGTTGTGCTGTAGTTTTCACACCTGATGATGATTGCTTGTGTTGCAATCGAAACGTCGTGATTTAATTTATTTGATATTTTATACCTACGTGACTGTACCGAAAGAACCAAAGAGTACAGTGTGTCTACAGCCTGTGAAAATTGTACAGGGCACAGTGGCGTTCCCATAGTTGAGTCCGTCTCAACGCCATCGTTCACGATCCCTCAAGGTACAACTTTCAACTACTACCAACCATCAGGTGTGTGCAGTGTGTACAGCGGCTTAAATTTGCCGGCGTGGAGACGAACCTTATTGTGCCCCGCATTCCCTCCCTTCACGATCTCCGGTGCCATGTATTCTATCGTCCCGCAGAAGGAATAGGCCCGCTCGTTCTGGACGCACGGCACGCGCACGGAGAGGGGAGGATCGTTTCACACAAAAGAATAACACTGAGAATGAGCAGGGTGTGCGACAGAGGCCGCACTCACCCCGCCAGGGAGGGGGGAGGTGTAGTGTTCTCAAAGGCTTCACACACACGAAAAGCAACTTTCATCGCATCTTAACACATTAGAAAAGAGGCACACCCTCTGCTTACAGCTGCCCCTTTAGCAGCACAAGGTGATTCGGCACCTGGGTCTACTAGAAAGCATTAGTCTGCCGGCATGGGGTGATAGTTGCCGCTGTGAGCGATCCCAAATGAGTCATCTGTGTTGGAATTTGTAGTCATTTCGCAACTCTGAAGCATTATTCTACGCGTATGTACAGCACTGACAGAAAACACCGTAGTTTAGACTTTTTAGATTATTTTGCTGCTATAAATGTCCAAACGATGAGCCAATTTTGCTGAGCATTCATTTGTGGCCAGGTCGCTTCTGAACAATAAGTTAATGCCTCAGTAGGCTTTGCCTGGTAGGATGGGCATGGTTTAGTTGTTGTATTTGTTTGTCTTTGGGAGATTTGTTTACCTGTCTTGTACTTTGCACTCCTATCGTGTTGTTGTGTCGTTTGATGTTGTAACGTTCTTACCCCGTGCCCCGACTGGACATCTGTTAAAAAGAGCTCGAGAGCTCATCGGATTCCTCCAGAATGAATCAATATTCTGATTTTGAATACATGGGAGCGTATTTTCGCAGTTGTACTGTGTATCGCTCCGGTGTGTGAACCACTACCCTACAAATGCATACACAAACCAAGACAAAGATCACCCATATAGCCTACACAGGCTGCCGAAGCAAGTGTTGATAGCGAGTACCTATGAAGGTCGGCAGGGCACAAGACAGCGTGGTGTGACTAGCACCATGCCTGGCCACATTTGTCTCCCTAGTGGTGATATTTACATACTGCACCACGTACTCGTTTAAGGCTGAGTAGACCTAAGGGAGGATCAGGACCGGTTCAGATAATCGTCAATGATGTTGGTCAGGTCACCGTGGTTCATAGCGCAGCATGTTAACCGCGACTACACCACCGCTCCCCACAACACACACATACAGGGCCACACACAGAGCTAAACACACACGCACACAGAGCCACACACACACAGAGCCACACACACACAGAGCCACACACACACACACACAGAGCCACACACACACAGACACACAGAGACACACACAGCCACACACACAGAGCCATACACACACAGAGCCACACACACACACACAGAGCCACACACACACAGCCACACACACACAGCCACACACACACACAGAGCCATACACACACAGAGCCACACACACACATAGAACCACACACGCACACAAAGCAACACACACACAGAGCCACACACACACAGCCACACACACACAGCCACACACACAGCCACACACACACACACAGAGCCATACACACACATAGAACCACACACGCACACAAAGCAACACACACACAGAGCCACACACACACAGAGCCACACACACACACAGAGCCACACACACACACACAGAGCCACACACACACACACAGAGCCACACACACACACAGAGCCACACACACACACACAGCGCCACACACACAGCGCCACACACACATACACAGAGGCACATACCTCCTCTATTACAAACTCTTTGCTGAGCCCAAAGTCCGTGAGCACGATGTGGCCTTCGCAGTCCAGGAGGATATTCTCCAGCTTGATGTCCCGGTAAATGATTCCCAGCTGAAGCGGGAGAGAGGGGCAGAGTCACCCTGGCGGTAAACCTGGATAAACGGCCATCAGAGAGCGCACTCCGACACCGGGGCCACATCACCCGCCGTATGGCACCCCCCCCCCAGAGGTCGCAGGGTAGGGTACGGGTACCCGATACCCGTACCCTACCCGGCTACCCGGGTATCGGGTACGGGTACCCAGCCGGGTATCGGGTACGGGTACGGGTACCCGTACCCTACCCGGCCGGGTACGGGTGCCCGCTTGCGACCCTGATGCGGCCTGGTACGGGTAAGGAATCAAAACTCGTTTGCGACCTCTGCCCCCCCCCCCCCCCCCATCATCTTAGCAGCTGATGATGCAGAGTCGAGTCTCGATGATTGTGCTGGAGAGTCGAACACCGCGCATTGAAGCAGGTGCTTTAGGCTGCGGCGGGGAGGGGAGGGGGTGCAGGGGAAGCACGCCAGCAGAGGGTGCTCGCTACACATCTCCGTCAACAGCGGGTGTGCGACTGTAGCCATGCAACCTAAACCATGGAACCATTGTATAGTAAACCCATACAGACTCATGAAGACGCACAGAGATATAGAGACACTGAGAAATATGAAAGACAAGCCACACCAGTGCCAATGTTGCCATGCAACCTAAACCATGGAACCATTGTATAGTAAACCCATACAGACTCATGGAGACGCACAGAAATATAGAGACGCATAGAGACTCGAGAGCGTGGTTGAGTCACGGGCAGCGGCCGGTCACCTGGGTTCGAACCCAGGGTCTCCGCGGTTGCCGGCTCGGCGCCCCCGACATTTCGGAACGGTTCCCCAGGCGCGCTCGCGGGTTTACCTTGTGCAGGTGCTCCAGCGCCAGCACGATCTCGCCGATGTAGACGCGAACCTCGTCCTCGGTGAAGTGCTCCCGCTGATACAGGTGGGTGAACATCTCCCCACCGTTCACGTAGTCTGCGCGGGTGTGCAAAACGTGCGTCAGGGACGAGTCTCCGCGGCCGCACGGAGCAACGCCGCTGGCGGAGGTCGCCCAAATCGAGCATCTCTCGGGGAAAAAATACACGGTCTGTGAATGGGACGTTCGGAAGTTGGGATGAATATTGGGCCAAAAAGGCTGCTGTCTGGGCTATTGAATTCTGACCGAGTAATCAGTTCCGACAGGAGCGGACGCCCATAAACGGAATGTTATTTCTAAGGTTGTGTAAGGATGCGAGAGAGTGGGGGAGTGTGGAGGGAGGAGTGGGGGGAGTGTGGAGGGAGGAGTGGGGGAAAAGCCTAGACAGGATGGACTCCAGTTTGCAGGTGTGCGCATGCGTGCGAGTTCTGGAGAATGGTGCGGAGCGGTGGCGGAGTGGTCAATGCACTGCGCTGCAAACCCCCAAGTTCGATGCCCGCTCACTTCCAATATCAGTGGCGAAAATACGAAGCGGTCCTGGACCTCCCCCACAAGCCGAGTCCCCCTGGTGCGCCGTGTAAACATCGGCACCAGGGGGACAAAGGCAGCCAGGCGTGCTTGTTGGCCAACCTCACCCTGCTGGTGTGCCGTGCCTGCCTCGAGAGCTGCTCGCTGAAGGCGACACACACGGTGTGGGGAGAGGGGGGAGCTTTGTTGGTCTTTGTCCTGCGTGCTGCCACGCGGGTTCGGCGCGCTCACCCAGGATGCAGGTGCAGCTTGGTGTCCGTCTGGAAGGCGTAGTGCAGCGTGACGAGGAAGGGCGACTGGCGGATGTGCTCCAGCACCTGCCGCTCGGTGCGCGTGTGTTCGGCCGTCTTGGCCTTCTGCACGATGGTGGCCTTTTTGAGCACCTTCATGGCGTACAGCTTCCCCGCGTCGTGCCCGCTCACCTTGCGCACCAGGAACACCTTCCCGTAGGCTGGATACGGGGCGGGGGGGTGGGTGGCAGGGGGGGGGAGGACGTCGCGGGTAAGCATTGAACCCCGCCACACGGCGCAGCGCGGGGTTTGTCGCGGGAGCCGCCCTCGAGAGCGCCGCTCGTCCCACGCTCCCGCGGAACGACGGTCGCCGCTTCCCGCTGCTCGAAAGAGCCGCACGTGAGGTACCTGTGCGCTCGTCTCCTGTTATACAACCCTGCAGAGCCAGCGGTGGGAACGCCACAAACACCGGCACAATCGGCTGTGCAGAGGACGCAGCCCCCGGTGATGCCGGCGAAGCTGCAACGTCACACATGGCCCCGTCGCCAGCGACGAGGCCTAAGACCGAACCGAGAAGGGTTTGGCCCGGAGAGCCGGTTTATTTCGCTCCCGAAACAAACGCGTCGATGACGCGGTGGAGGAAGGGGAGGGGTGGGGGTGGGTGGGAAGGACTCACCGCCGGTGCCGAGCACTTTCAAGAGTTCAAAGTTCTCCATTCCCACGCGCTCCGCGTACCCAGTGAGGTTGGCTGTGAACAGAAGAGCAGTCCGTGTTGGTAAATGTGACAGACCCTGAGCATACACACAAAAGGCAAAGGATTCCCTGTGTAGCCTTCACAGACTGTTGAGGCAAGTGCTGTTAGTGAGGAGGGCCTATGAAGGCTGTCACGGCACACGGGAGGCTGGGTGGCCAGCACCACGCCCGGCAACCTTTGTCTCCTATGTGGCGATGTTTACACACCGCACCAGGTACTCATTTGAGGCAATCGACCTAGGGGAGGCCCAGGACCGGTTAAAATATTCGTCACCGTTATTGGTCGCGAGCGAAAATAAAACTCTGGATGGCCGGGTTCGTAGCACAGTGCGCGCTGACCATTGCAACGCTGGTCCCCATACGTACACACACACTGACGCACGCACGCGCATAAATACCGAACACGGAGGGCGACGAGCCGTGAGTGCCGCAAGACCGCGGCTGGCAGTGAATTGGACATTTTATAGTTTTTTTTATGAGCAAAGACGCCAAACTGTGGCAGATGTTGCGAAACCAGTTTCCCTCTCACAACGGCTGCGGCTACTCCTAGCCACGTGCCACCGACCGCACTCAGTCTACCTAGCTCGGAGAATCTCCGCGCGCGCAGAAGAGAAAACTACGGCGGCAGATCTGTGCAAACGTGCGAGACAAAAAAAAAAAGAGTCCCGCGGACCGACGTGCCTTTACGCAATTTTGCATTTGACAAAGAAACGGTGACCACGTCAACACACTCGTACACGTGCGCGCGTCCGACACAGCCCACCACGAGCGCCGTTACTTGACAACGGTGAGCGACGATGCCCACGGCAGCGCGAGGTCGCTGCGTCCGGCCACGGCGAGCTTCCGTCGTGAGCCCATCGAGCCCCCACGGCGCGACCGGTGCGATCCCTTAGTGCCACAACGACGACGACAGCTTCACGATCACCACCCCCAGGCCGGTGTCTGTGCACGAGGCCAAGAGCCCTGAAGAATTCTGTTCACATTCCCCCACCCCCATCCTGCACACAAACTGCGCCGCCTTCGATATTCACAATTCCACCGCTGTGTAAACGTGTGTGCAAATTGTTGTCAACGTAAGTGCAAATTGTTGTGTAAACGTGTGTGCAAATTGTTGTCAACGTAAGTGCAAATTGTTGTGTAAACGTGCGTGCAAATTGTTGTCAACGTAAGTGCAAATTGTTGTGTAAACGTGCGTGCAAATTGTTGTGTCAACGTACGTGCAAATTGTTGTGTAAACGTGCGTGCAAATTGTTGCGTAAATGTACGTGTAAATTCCTAATTAAAATGGCAGCAGGAGGAGGATTTCTCCATGGCTCTGGCTGTCTGCCTGATGATGCTGGTTGTAATTACCGGCGAAACATCACACTACTCGAATTTTAAATGTTGTCGGTTTGCACTCCAGCACACAACCGATGTGCTGTACTGGTAACGAATTGCCACGTTTTGTTTAAATGACAAAACGTACTAATTGGCAGTGTCGGGAGATGGTGGGTTCAACGACACATTTATATTTACGCGATCCAACCCAAACAAACCCTCTTATGCATAATATTGGTCGCGAAACCCTACATGTTAAACTGCTTGCGATGTTTGTGAACCATTTACAAAACGTGACGGGGGTGGGGAGGGGGGAGGCAGGTCCTTGATTTCGCTGCTTTTCAACACCAAGTAAACCAATTCATTAAATAATAAGACCCACACACACACGCACGCACCAGTGGAGGTACGGTCGCCACTTCCCCCTCGGGGCCAGACTCGAACGAGCCACCGCCACGCTTTGATGAGAACACTCGAGAGGAGAGGGGGCGGCTTCCCTCAGCGCGTCGCCATGGAGTCCGGCCGCTTTCAACCCTCGCCACGGATCAATAACGGGAGAGAATCGCCACGTGCCTATCGATTTACTCGGCTCTTCTTGCCCGCACTGCAACAGATTCGGCCCCACAATGTAACGACGGCACGACATGCGCGATCATGTGAGAACACCCATTTGTGTGCGTAATTAAATGCCCTATCGTGTTAGTCCTTCCCCCCCCCACCCCGTCGTCCATGGCTCCCTGCCCCGCTTCACGTCCAGGCTCAAGACCTTCCTCTCTGCCTATGACCCATGACCGCCTCTCTCTCTCGACAAACCAAAGACGCACGGTGCTACTGGACAGCGCCGCGAGATGCGGTCGCTTTTCCGAGCTATGTAAATCCGCGGCACCGCCTTGCAGTGTAGTGTTTTGTAATCGTTTTGTATCGAGCGTTAAGATGTATCCAAGTGTTAGAGTGATTCCCTGCTGCTCAAATGAGCCACATTGAGGCACGAGTGCTCATCTTCTGTTTATTGCCCCGCAGAGCCCAGTGGTGGAAATTCCTCATTCCTACGGCATGGGCTAGTGTATTCACAGGACAACCACCATTGACTTCCCCGCAAAATGGTACCTATTTTACCAGCCCACGGAAGGATGATGGGCCGAGTCAACCCTCGACCAGGATTTTAACTCGCGCCCTTCCGACTGAGCCGCTGAGCCACTGGCCGGTTTCATGAGTCTCCAACTCCCATAGCGCTGTAGCAAATACACCGAGTCTGTGAGGCGATTGAGAGTTGTTTGTCAATACTTCACCACGCTCGTCGATACGAGTTGGCGAAAAGTGGCGAGGGCGCAACCACGACCCGGGTTCAGGTATCACCGACGTTAGCCGTGGCTGAGAATCCAACGCAGGCCGCTGGGTCCGCAGCACGGTGCGCCAAGCGTTGCGCCGCCGCTCCCCGCCCCAGGAGTAAAGTACCAGCGAATGCACGCCCGCACTTGCCAATGCAATCACGGGGGCCATTACTGCGGGGATCTGGACTTCGTCAACCCCGGACTGAGAACGCCGGCCTCGGCTCAGGCAACACGGGGGGGGGGGGGGGGGGGGGGCACACGGCGCATATTTGCGTGCGGCGTTAATCCATCAACCGGGTTCTGTGAAGACTGCTTTGTTATTACAGCACTATTCTAAGCTGCCTCAGGTGTAGACCTATAAAGAACTATTGCAACAATTTCGTGCCACGTAATCACTCCGGCCAAACTTTTCGTCACGAGAGCCCTCCGCCGCTTGACGCGGTCCAAACGAATTCAATGTTCACGTGCGCACCGCGTCGTTTGTTTTTCTGCGTCCCCCCCCACCGGTGATGCACAATTGGCAATTCCCGGGGTCACGCAGATTGTTGTCGTTTCGAGCTCCCTCGCCGGTGAGTCCGAGGGCGATTCTTCACAATGGAATTATTAGCAATCAGGTACACGGGGGCGTTTCGCCCTAAACCGCGTCGAGCATCTTCAGGTTGCTGAACCAGGAAGTGAGAATTAAACAGCTACGGAAATGGCGATGATCTAACGCGCATGAGTCAGTGCGCCCACGTAAAGTTAAAAAAAGTTACGTTTTCGTTCCACAGGCCGAGCAGCCAAGGGGTTCACATCCTCACTCAATGTCCCCCCTGCGAGATCTTTCAACGGAGGAATTTACCCGAAATGTACTTGGCTCGCGAACACGCCGTTAAATTCTCTACTCAACTTAACGGAGCCATACACAAGATGAACAAGGGTCTTGATCGTGGCTGATGACGATTATGAATTCTCTACAATGGCACACGGTAAAAATTCTACTTTTACGAGTCACTGAAAAAGCTTGAAAAGTAAATAGAGAAGAATGCTGGGTTCACAATTCCCAAAGAGCGGTGATTACGCCGGGCAGTGTTGAGCGAAGGAGCGGTTTAATTAAAATGTAAACACGTTGCCGTTGGCCTGGCAGAGCAAGCCAGCCAAGGGCGGCGCTGCTCAGGGATAGCTGCACAGGCGATGGGAGAGTGGTGGTCATCAGGGCCCGAGTGCCAATCGTGGTGCAAGCCAAGCCACTCCTGATTCCACGAGGTCGTTAGAGCAAGAACCGTCGCGATGTCAGGCGACAACTTGGGGGGGCAGCACGACACCACTCTTGCGACAAATGTCAAAAGGCAAATAAAGTAAACTAAATTTAAACTTCGATTTAAAGCTTTCGTGACTGCAGGGATTCATCTTCTTGGTTCTTTCGGTAAAGTCACGTAGAATGGAAATAATAAAATAATAAAAATAAAACATATTTTATCATGTTTTATTATAAATAATAAAAATAAAACATATTTTATTGTTTTATTTTTATTATTTTATTATTTCCATTCTACGTGACTTTACCGAAAGAACCAAGAAGATAAATTTAAACTATTGACAATAACAATATAATAATATTCTTTCGGTAAAGTCATTTAGATAGAAATAAAAATATCACGACGTTTCGATCGCAACGCAAGCAATCGTCATCAGGTGATTGCGTTGCGATTGAATCTACGCGACTTTACCGAAAGACCCAAAGAATATGAATTCCTGCAGTCACAAAAGCTTTAAGTCAACAATATAATCATCATATTGATGATATTAATAATATAATTCAAATAATAAACACCAAAAATAGGCTGAAGCACCCAGAGTGCAAACAATATTTATCTATCACTGCTGCAAGCATCTTATCTGCACTGATCGGGCACTGCAGGGGGGATATATTTAACTTGGCAGCAGCCTGGGTTTCTAAACTTAGCAAGCTCAGTCACTTCTGTCAAAGCAGGGACCTCTTGCTGTGACAGAAAGTGCAAGGCCGTGACCAGGGCAACTTGCCCTGCCACACACCCTGGATGTAACAACAGCCACCCTGAGTCTCAAGGCTGTTTCTTCAGGAGGGTCCTGCTAGGTTTTTGCAGTCGGGGGGGGGGGGGGGGGGGCGGGGGCGACGATAGCTGCGTTTCCCAAACGAGCTTTTAATTTCCCAATGTCGGTTGGAGAACTTGGACCGCGTCTATGGAACACAATGGCCTATATTCTTAGGTTTTTTCGATACAGCTATCGTGCTGTGACTGTTCCACCTGAAGACGGAAGCTTGTGTTGCCTCCGAAACGTCGTGATTTTTATTTTTATTTTACTTCTATTAATTTAAATTTTTACC